TGGTCAATGGGTTTGTTATCTGGAATCCAGGAAAAAAAAAACAGAAGCAAGGCCTCCACCAAGGACATCACTGTCTCTAGAACTATTTCAATTTTTTCTTACTCAATTCAGCCAGCTCTTGGTTTTGGCCATTAGGGATAATTTAGGTTCTGCTCATCCTTTAATACTCAGCTCAGAACTACAAGAGAATGATCCATCAAGGTCTGCGTTGGTCTTAGTCACCTACCCACCTACCTGTACTTATACCGTGTTCTGTGTCTAATGCTACACTATGTTGAAATATGTTCATGCGTCTGACTCCCACGCAGAGTTACAGCTCCTCTGCAAACATTCTCTCTCTCTCATCCTAGAACACAGTGTGTAGTAATAATCTGAAAGCCTTACACAGTGTTTCCCATGTGCTAGACACTGTCCTGTGTATCTTTCACAAAGTATTTTATTCTTATACTAACACCCAGAAGATAAACACTATTATTCTAAATTTTAAAATGAAGATACTAAGGCACAGAGTGGTTAAGTAACTTGCCTAAGATCACACAGCTATTAAATGACAAAACTTGAAGCAAAGCCAGAGAGTCTAACTCTAGACCCTGCACTCAACCACTAACCCTGCTCTGCCTCATAGATTCTCAGTAATGTTCGACTGAACATTACTCAGCGTAGATGCATTCATACAAATATCTGGCCTTAAAGGAAAAAGAATAGTCTTAAAGTCTCAGATTCTTAAATTTTTCTCAAGAAAAGGATGAATGACAATAGGAAGATATTTATAAAAAAATATATCCATAGCTTTGATTTGTACATTACACAAAGTTGCATTTGACCACTAAACGCCTCTCCAGGCACAAAGTCTTGTTAATCCTGAATGTGGAATGGTAGTGTTTTAGAAATCAACTCAACTGTTCACTTACTTCCATCTAAAAATACAGAAGCTTTTGGATGTAAAGTCAATGAACTCCCCCTCCCCCCTTTTTAAATTGCTGGCATCAGCTACAGAGGATTTGAGCACTAACTGGTTATCTTTGAAATAAACTGCATAAACTGCTGTCTGCCAAAATCCATCCCCAGAGTTGCTCTGATGAAGCAGTCAACACTATTAGAAAATGCAACTACTGTTAATACCCTAATTCAGGCAAAGGGTTTAACACAGGGCAGAATTGTTTTAAAGTTTCTCATAAAAGCATTGGCTGTGGAAAGTGAAAGGAAAAAAAATTCAAACCAACAGAGACTTGGAGGAAGTGATATTACTGAACTTTAATACCCCTGTGTTTACAGAGTGACCTTAGCACGAGGCAGTAGGAGAGAACGAGTCCACTGTGGTCTGGGAGAACTGAGTTCCATGTTGAACGGCAGGACGGACGCTGAACAGAGTATGATGCCTAAGAGTAACCTGGCAGAACTGTGTGGAAAACAGTTCATAAAAAAATCCACACAAAGAACTTTACACTGAAACAGTCCCCACTTCGGTACACATTGAAATAAGGATCATGACAACCACGATGACAATGATATAGTAATAACAAACAAAATAATAGGGCATGCATGCCAATCTGATTTTTTGTTGTTGTTTTCTATTTTCAAAAGTTAAATTGCCAAGTAGTAAAATCAGTTACACTATTTTACAATAGTGGTGTCCGTCTGAGGGTGGCTGTGGCCGAGGCAGGTGTCGGGGAATGTCAGCAGGAGAGAAGGCACCATGGATGATCATGGCTGCCCCACCCCGAGTTCGACTACCAAATATTGGGACCCTTCCTTGAAGCTGATGGTGCATGTGTGTGGACACACACCGTCTGAAAGCCGTGTGGCTTTACTGTTTGTGAGAGGAACTGGAAACTGTCCTGAGTGTAAACACTCCACTTAGAGCAACTTTAGGGTACGACACTTTGCAAGTGTCACTGTTGACAAGGAGGTTGAGATTCAGGGAAAAAGTGCTAAAGATCTACAATAAGAGGGAAGAAGACTTTTCTAGTCTAAGAGAATATAACGATTTCCTGAAAGAAGTGGAAGAAACTGTTTTCAATTTGACCTGCAATATGGACATGGACAACACCAAAAAGAAAACGGAGATATACAAAAGGGAAAACAAAGATGTTATCCAGAAAAATAAGTTAAAGCTGACTTGGGAACAGGAAGAATTGGAAGAAGCTTTAGAAGTGTGATGACAGAGGCCGGGCGTGGTGGCTCATGCCTGTAATCCCACCGCTTTGGGAGGCGAAGGTGGGAGGATCACTTGAGGCCAGGAGTTTGAGACCAGCTTGGGCAATATGGCGAGATCCCGTCTCTATAGTCTACAAAATGTAAAAAAAAATTAGCTGGGCATGGTGGTACATGCCTATAATCTCAGCTACTTGAGGGGCTGAGGAGGGAGGATTGCTTGAGCCTGGAGTTGGAGGCTATGGTAAGCTGTGATCACGTGCCACTGCACTGCAGCCTGGGTGACAGAGCAAGACCCTGTCTCACACACACAAAAAGAAAAGAACAACAGGAAAAATGAACAAAGAAGACTATTTATACACTAAGAAGAACAACGGCAGCATATTCTAAAGGGAAAGAATGAGCAGGCTTTTTTTTCAGATGAACTAGAGAGTTCTCCGGGCTGCTTTGCTTTTGGCTCAGCATAAAGATACATCTACCCAATCAGAAATGCAACTTGAGAACCCCCACTATAAAACCACTGAGGTTCTCCACAGGCATCAAAATGGGTGAATGTATTTCATTAGCACCTACTCACAAGCTTGAAGAAGCTCTATACGAATAACAACCAGTGCAAACAGAGACACCTGGGCCAAAAGTTCCTGAGTCTGAGATGCTAGGAAGACTTGGGTATTTATTCATTTATTATTATTTTGATGTCATTTTTTAAAATTTCAGAATATTACAGGGGTACAAATATTTTGGTTATGTAAATTTCTCTTGTACCATTTGAGTTGAAGTTGTAAGCATGCCCATCCCCCAGATCCCCCAGATCGCGCACATTTTGCATGTTAGGTGTGAATTTACCCATCCCCTTCTGCCCCCTCCCACCTGCTTGATTTCTGATGAATGTTATTTACACATGTGCACATACGGGTTGATCAATTAGTTCCAATTTCATGGTGAATACATGTGGTGTTTGTTTTTCCATTCTTCTGCTACTTCATTTAAAAAAATGGACGCCAGCTCCATGCAGGATAATAGGAGAGGTATCAGACTTGGGGATTTAATCCATGTCAGAGCTGCTTCTCCACAGGACCTTGCTGGAGGCTGTGCTTTGCTTGCTTGGCACAGAGCTATACGATGCATCCAGTGGGCTTTTCTGGCAGCCCAGTTCACCTTTTTTTCCCTCCTTTATAAGATTTGGACCTTGGAGCTGAAGCAGGGAGCTAGCAAAAGTCAAGCAGACTTGTAAAATTACAGTCATGTGCAGCTGCGTGACACAGTACTACCACCAGCAGCTGTGCTAAAGTATTTATAAAGAGAGAATTTCAGAGCTAAGCTGAGTAATACAGGGGCTATATAGATGTGCGAATAAGATTTTTTAGTTGTATTTTTCTGAGAGAGATGGATGCAGTAAGGTGCATCTGATGGAAGAGACGAATAAATAATTCACCTATATATGTTTAAGGTTAACAGCTTTGTAAAATCTTTTTGAACATAAATCTAAACTTTATATTTAAAAAATAATATAAAATAGTAGAAGAGTGCAGGGAGCATTTGTCTTATCGATTTGTTCATTCATTCAGGCATTCATTTATTTTTGGCAGCCCGGAGTTCGTTCTTCCTTCTTACAGTATTTGGATTTCCTGCTGGGAAGCTCCCTCTTGCCTGTCTACATGGAGCTCCCGGTGCTCTGCCTGCCTCACCTCCCTCCGTGGAAGTCAGAGGCTTCCTGGCCAGAGCAGTCATCTCAGCGCTCTGGTAGAATCAAGGGGCAGACACACGACCTAAGCCCAAGCTCAGCCACAGGACTTTATCTTCCTAGGACTTTGATGTGTAGAAACAAAAAAATAAGTGGTGTAAGTTCATCCATTTGTTCCTGAGAGGGTGCTCAAGACAGACTGTCCAGATGCCTGTTGACTCCAGGTTCTTCACTTCTCTTCAATTCTGTATGCTTTCCTACACTCTTCCAATGCTTTCCCTTTTTTCTCAAGTGATTCCAACTCGGTTTCAGTTGTTTGCCCCCAAAGAGTAAGTGTTGGGTACCAGCTGAGCAAGGAACCAAGTCAAAACCATGTTGATTGAACTGGCCGATGGGGTTGTAAGTGAGGACAGAACTGGGAAGAGGCCCAGGTAGAGATCCCTGGGAGACTAGGCAGGTACTGTGGGGGTGTCAGGTGTGGCGGTGCCAAAAGGAGCCTGGGGGACGGTCACTAGGACTATGGCATTAGTGAGACAGGCTGAGCTCCAGAAACACAGCACCGTGAGCAACAGCCCCAAAGAATGTGTGTACTTCATGACAAGTTTAGGGCCATAAATTGACCCTGTTACATTCAGAAGCAGCTTCTACACCACAGAAAAACCTATCAGGAGATTTAAAAAGTCTTTCATTTCCTCATCCAAAGTTAATGTTCAAAATAAAGCAACGAGATCACAGATCACAACTTAACATGCTGGAATATGCAAAGTCGCTTCCTTCTTGCTGGGTGCTCACCTTTCCCACTCACTTGACTGAACAACAGAAATTAGGCTTATCGGTTTCATTCTGTTTATAGCTAAGTTTACAACCCAGCTCATCATTAACACTGTTTCCCTCTAAATTCACAGACCCAAAAACCTTCCCAGGAGGATTATTTTTCATAAATTCCCTTAAAATGGGCTCACATTAAATTTTATATAATATCATTTTTAAAATCTAAAGTTAAAACCCCAAATAAAATTATATCTTCCACTTAAAATTTTACTAAAGATAATTTTCTGGATTAATAAATACTGCCAGACCCATGTCACCTCATTGGTTTGGAAATGAAACATAAGCACATAAATAAATGGGAAGAGATTTACTTTAATCTGTCTAATCATACCTGAACAGGGACTCTCTTGACAGCCAAATTTCATTCTGTTTCACAGTTTTCCAAGAGAAAAGCAACAGCAGCAGCACAGTGGACACAAGCAGGGTGGTGGCTCCACATCGATTTAGCCATGTGCAGAGCTTGCTCAATCCATGCACAAAAAGGATGCAGTAGCCCATGCTGGAAAACAGGGTGAGAAGAACAGGATTACTTTGGGGGTGTAATGGATTCCCCCCAAGCATCACCTCCTATATAACTAATTTTCTTTCTTTCTTTTTCGGTCTCACTATGTCACCTGGGCTAGAGTTCAGTGTTGTCATCATAGTTCACTGCAACCTAAAACTCCTGGGCTCAAGTGATTCTCCTGCTTCAGCCTCCCAAGTAGCTGGGACAATTGGTGCATGCCACCACATTCTGCTGATTTTTCTATTTTTTTGTAGCGATAGGGTCTTGTTCTTGCTCAGGCTGGCCTCCAAATCCTGACCTCAAACAATCCTCCCATCTTGGCCTCCCAAAGTGCTAGGATTACAGGCGTGAGCCACCGTGCTTGGCTGTAACTTTCAAATAAAGCTTGGCCTGTGCTAGAGAAACAAATATGGACATCCCTGCTTTACACATAATTAATGTGTCCATTCTCCAAAGCGTTGCACTTCCAGGTGCGCTAATTCTTTGGCATTAGTGTGGAGAATCACAGGTTCATCTTGTAGGCTCAGAGTGTCCTGGATTTCAGTAGCTCAGGCATCCTGAGAAGTCTCACATGCATGTTCTTGGGTCCTGAAGGGATCCTCTGACCCAAGCTCCCTCGTGTCACTTGTCATTGTATAACCCCATTGACACCATGTGTCCAAATTTGGAGTCTCTGCTGCAGCAAGTCACATCACAGCTTTGTAGAGGACAATCTCTGAGAGTTCCCTATCAGGTCCTGGGAGGCATGCTGGTCTCTAAGGGGCACTGATCTCTGTTTCCATGGCCAGCCACAGCCCTTCTGCTTTGGAAAATCTACCCATACCTACAGGCCAACTCCTGAGCTTCGCAGCTTAGAGCTCATCATAGACAACCAGTACTGATACGATTCTCCTGCTGACTCCAGCCCAGTTTTACCAGCAAGCACAGGAGTTCACATGGTATCTGACTGGGACTTTGCATACTGGTATGATGTCTCTAACAGCCTTTGGCCTGGTGCTACATGGTCCCTTATATCCTCTATGTACCCACAGATGCTTCCTGCCTGCCAACTGGACTCAGTAGAACATAAACTTGTAGTTTGTATCCATTACTGCAGTGTGCATTTTAGTCAATATCTGCTTCTTTCCAAAGATGGTAACTACAAATTATTATAGAATATCTTGAAAATGAAGCAAGCTTGTATAAGGAAATCCTACGTTAGTCAGAAACTTACATTATCAGCAGCCAAAAATAAGCATAACGCATATATTTGCTCAGTTTTTATTCATTCTTTGTCTTATGTGGCTGGCAACATTCTGGGCACCAAAAATACAATTTGGAATAGAACCCAGGCCTTGTCCTCAAAGAATTCCAGTCTAATGAATCAGGTCGGTCTTGTAAAAGGAAACAAATAAATATTCTCATTCCTAAACACATCTCCTTTGACAAAACATCTCTTCACCTTCTGTTTTCCTTTCTAAATGTCTGTGCTTCTATATCAAGAACAGAAAAACAAGAGAGAAACATTTTGAGGTTTGTGACTTGGAGTCCCCGGGAACCAAGTCAGAGCGCCTATTCCTCACCTCGAGTCCCATAAGTTGGTCGGTCCAGTTCCCTAACAGTTTAGGGTGCAGTATTTGGCTAAAGAGAGTCACTGCCCTTCTTACCACTGGGGACGATGATTTGAACTAAAGAGGCCTGTGTGCTCCATGCCCCCACCATGAGCACTGGATTGGATTGCCTTAGTACCTTGCAGAAGCCCCGAACATGCCAGACCACAGTCCCTAGTGCAAAACCAAAAACAAAACCTTAAAAAATCTCTTCCCATTTCTACAATTCTCCTCATTCAACCTTAAAGGTACAAAGCTTTTCTACAAATCTTTTTCTGTTTGTTTGTTTTTTGAGACAGGGTCTCACTCTGCTGCCCAGGCTAGAGTGCAGTGGCGTCATCATAGCTCACTACAGCCTCAAACTCCTGGGCTCAAGTGGCCTCCTGGCTCAGCCTCCCAAGTAGCTGGGACTATAAGTACGCAGCATCATACCCAGCTAATTTTTAAACTTTTTAATAGAGACAAGGCCTCGCTATGTTGCCCAGGCTGGTCTCAAACTCCTGGGCCCAAGCTATCCACCCACTGCAACCTTCCAAAGTACTGGCATTACAGGTATGCACCCAGCCAAATCTTTAACATTGCTCAACTGTCCTTGCTAATATCATTACTGTGACCACAGTAGCTGCCCAAGTTCATGAGGCTATTTTGCTACCTGTTCCTGGCCCTAGCTAATCCCAACCCAAACAGCAGGGAGCTTCTAGGGCCATACGAAGGCTCTCTGGGCTCCATTCTTTCACTCACCAGATATTTAACAAACATCTACTATGTACCCAAAACTAGTATAGACATCAAGTACCTGTCAGTGAACAAAAACAGACAATAATCCTTATCCTTGTGGAACTCACGTGAGTGGGGAAAAATAGCTAATAAACAAGTAAATAAAACACAGGGCTTGTACACGGTGATGTTACACGGGGAAAAATCAAGAACGGGAGAAGGTTGAGATATTAATATGGGTGATCAAGGAAGGCCTCACTGACATTTGAGCAAAGACCTGAGACGCGTGGGGACCACACCATGCAGATGCCCACACCTCCAACGCCAGCTCGCCTCCCACTGCTATCCACACACGGCAGCACCGCCGAGAGCTCACATTTATGCAGCCCATCCTACGTGGCGGGCACTTTCTGCATTTTGACCACAGTCCATCCTCTCAACACCATGGGTTGCCATTATTAATGTTTAACCCATGAAGAGAAAGGTAAACAGGCTTGCCGGATTGGGTTATACATTTAGTCAACTAGTAGAGCAAAGAGAAACCCAGGAATTTCAGATTCCAGAGCCTACATTCCACATGCCGTCCTGCCGCAGGGGTTTGGACTTGACTGGCTGATTCCCGTGTCCCTCACGCCTTATCCCACAGCGTCACCTACTCTCTTCCCAGCTACTCCATTCATGAAATCTCAATAGTCATTTACCGCCTCCTTGTAGGACACAGAGCTGCCATCTGGCAGAACAGTGGGTAGGAAAACACTGGGATTCCAACAGCTCCAGCCCGGTGGCCCCAAAGTGACAGAAGATAAGAATCATTAAGCCAAAACCAAAAAAAAAAAACCTAGCTATTTTATATGTTTGTATGTTTACTGAGCACTTGCTATGGGCCAGGCACGGTTCTAAATGCTTTATATGGGCCTCTCCACAATATTCGTAGGGCCTGGGGCAAGGACAGTACCAGCTGTAAATATATTATCTAATTTAAAATTGTAATCCAAAGTGCCCTCCTCCATTTCTTTTTGTTTGTTTGTTTTGTTTTTATTTATTTTTTTCAGCATATTATGGGGGTACAAACATTAAGGTTACATATATTGCCCTTGCTCCCCCGCCCCCCTTGAGTCAGAGCTTCAAGGGTGTCCATCCCCCAGTTGGTGGGCATCACACTCATTATGTATGTATATACCCATCCCCTCCTCCCCAACCTGCCCGACACCCGATAAATGCTATTCCTATATGTCCACTTAGGTGGTGATCATGTCCTCCTCCATTTCATAAATGAGGAAACTAAAGTTTAGAGGAGTTAAATAACTTTCCCACAGCCCCAAAAGCTAGTAGGAGAGTCAGATCTGAAGACTCATTGCCCTAACGCTACTTTATAATCTACGAGTTGGCAAACTATTTCTGTAAAGGGCCAGACAGTAAATATCTCAAGGACTCTTGAAGTCCTTGTCATTCCTACTCAACTCTGAATTTGTACCAGGAAAGCAGCCATCCACGCCATGTAAATGGATGGGCGTGGCCATGTGCCAATAAAATTTATTCATAAAAACAGGCAGTGGGCTAGATTTGGCTCACGGGCATACATAGTTTGTTGACCCCTGTTCTAGCCAAAATGAAGGAGAACACATTCCTTTTCAATCAGCACGGGCATCTGTATCAAGTAACATGAACATTTTTTTCCCAAAAGTCCTTGCATTGACATATGGTTTAAAGAAACGTTAAGTCATATAAAATAATCTCTACTTAGGTTTGCAAATTTCTTAGAGAGTATCACATTCTTAAAAATCTGACACAAATATCACAGAGATCAGGACGTTTCTCCTTTATGAAACTTCATCTTTCAACCTCTGCTCCAATGCAGATCTCAGCAGCAGGGGGGAGGAACACGCTCTCTCCCCATGGCTAGGGGCAGGACAAGGCCTCCTTTTGCAACTGGGAAATCAAGCAAATGAGAAGCTACACGCTCCTCTGGTCTCCAGGGACATGAAACCAGAGTCCAGCTTGCCCTGGTTAGTATAGCAAAGGAGACGCCAGGCTGCTGACCAGATACCCCCACCCGGAGCACGGAGAAGCCAGTGCAAACCGCTGACGCTTCACAAAATCATAACCTGGAGAAGCTAAAGCCAAACTCGGGCTCCCAAGATGCATGGTTTGGCTCAGTACTAAGATGTATTTTCAAAGCACGTGTGAGAAACATCACTGCTAACTCCGAGAAGGGAACGAATTTCTCACTGCAGACCCATCGCTCATTCACAGGCTGACGGGATCTCCCACTTGCATCCTGATTTTATAGACAAGCTGCTCAGCATGCAGTGTGCTTAAATAACTACACGCTTCAAAGAGAATTTAACAGGAAATGCAAACCAACAATGTTTGTCCTTTCACATTAGAATAACAAACGTTTTAAATCTGTTGTTTGGAGAACTTTGTTAGCAGCTAATCATTGTGTAATAGTACAAGTGTTACATTCCCAAAACTTGCCCAGAAGCTTTTAAGTGATAAAAGAACATTTCCCATTCACATTCTTAGCAACCTGAAAAGATGTCTACTTTCTACTTCTGGCCTAAGCATTTTATGATGTTTGCTATAGCTGCACATTCTGTTTAATTATATGCAACAAAGAATATCTTATTTATATCTTCAGTACAAAGAGTACTGAAATTCTACCTTTTAATTTGTCCAGAAGTTCAA